CCCCTGATCAAGAGTTCTTGGGAGGCCCTCTGGCCCCTGGTCAGAGATCTGAACAGCAGCCTCGACTCCTGCCTGTTTGAGGGCAGCCCTGCCCTGGGTAGGCTGTAGGTGCAGACTCCAGCAGAGGACCCCGGCATGGCTCATGTCACTAGCTGCACCACACAGCCACCTTCTGCACAGAGAAGGCCCGGCCTGCCCAACCACGGCCATTCCCCAAACCCAGCAGCCTTGTGCCAGCAGCCCAGCTGCACCGAGCCGGAACCTCACGTCTCCTTCGCCCATGACCACAGAGAATCAGCTGCCAACGCTGGCTGGAAATCATTCATCTGTTCCAAGGGAGAGAGACCAAAATAGACCTTCTCTCGGTCCTGCTCATACATGGGGCCTGCTAAGGGGTTCCGTAAGTGGAAGCAGGTGGGGCAGCCGCTGGGCCTGACTCTGGGACACAGGGTGGGGTGGGGAATCCACTCTCTGGAGGGATAAGAGGCAGGCCCCGGGTCTAGGAAAATGCACATTTCTATGTGCTAAAAGCATCTTTATGGGACATGTTCAGAGAGAGAGGGAGACAGCAAGAGAGAAAAGCGGCTCTTGTGGCCACAGAGGCCAAGTGAGTGGCCAAGCTAGCGCCAAGGCCGCCCGGCATGCAAAGGGTGAAGCTTTTAGGCAAGCGGCGGCCAGTGATCTCAGCTTCCCCCAGTCCTAATGCTCCTGAAAGGCTCTCTCCCACTCCCTGTAATTGGGCATCAGTAGTTAATGCAGTATTGACTGCATTACACGCTCCCGTGCCTCCCCTCGCTAATGCCAATTGCATCACCTTGTACAGTCACTGGCTTGCTTAGCCAATAGCCGTTAAAAGCAATCCAAATCATGAATCATCTGGGAAACTTTTAGCAAGACACCGCCATCCAAGGAGACAATTTACAGTTGAGTTAATCTGGGTACATTAGTGAGACATGGATTCCGGACGACAGACCAATTTATGTTGTTTCCCTGTGTCCGCCCCCCTCCACCCCCACTGCCCTTAGTGCTTCATGTGGGCAAATGAATGGAAGAGCAGGGAGCAGAGAGAAGCACCTGCTTCTTAACCCAAGGCTTGGGGAGGGGCTGAGGGAGGCCTATCTTTACAGACTCTCGCCTGGCTGAGTTTGGACAGGAAGGGAAAGCAGCTATACGTGCTGCTCAGGATTTGCGATGCTTCATTCCCAGCAGTGAGGAGGTGGCTGCTGCTGAGGTTGGCATAGTAGATGTAGATGGAGACCCTTCTCTTCTGGGCACAGGTCAAATGCCAAGCCTGATCCCCATTCTTCCAGCCTTACAAGACCTTTCCCAGGCCTTGGAAGGCAGCAGTGCCTGCTGGGGTCTCTGAGAGAACAACGGGGCTCACTTCTTGCCTCCACTCCAGGGCCAGGGAGGTACTGACCACATTCTGCCAGGAGAGGTCCTCAGGACTCTTTGTGGTCCAGAGCATGATGGGATATTCCAGGAGGTCCTGCAGGTCAGCACCTAAGCATAGATGAGAGCCTGCCCTCACAGATCAACTGAGTCAGCTGTGGAGGCTGTGCTCCTAGAGGTCATTAACAATTGAAGATTTGCTGTCTGGTCCTCCTCAGGCCAGTTCCACTCTCCTTAGGCACTTTCACTTATTAAAAATGCTCTAAAAATCACGTCTGGCGTTTGGTTCTACAACCTGCCTGCTGCTTCCTGTGGTCACCTCAGCCTTCCTACTGGGCCTTTGCAGAGGCGGCTTACACCCAGACCCACCCAAAGAGGTGTCTTTAGCACCTTCTCCTGCCCATTCCCCCACCCAAGGCTTCTCACTGTTCTTGGGGTCATTTGGACCCTGTGCTGTCTGCCTGTATCCACGGGACTCTTGTCCAGTAGCCTGAGGGCTAATTTGACTCCTGGGACTCAGGGCAGTAGCTCTCTTTGCTCCCCTGGGGCTGAAAGCCTCACCGGACAGCCCATGGCCTGGTGCCAGTTCACGCACAGGTGCCAAAGAAAGAAGGGCTATTTCTCTGGGAAAGTGGGAGCTAGGCTCCCTTTGCTGACAGGCAGGCCCAACAGCATTTAGAAAGCCTGGACCCTGAGTTCCAGTAAAGTGGAAATGGCTAGGCCAAGAGCAAGCATCCAAATGAAAGCAATTAATCTTAAAACCCGAAGTTTAACCGTTTGCAAAACAGATCTTTCCTCTCTGTGGTGGCCCTTCACTGCTCGACCTAATGGATTACTTTATTAATAATGCACTGTGCTTAAAAGCAAAAAAAAAAATTTTTTTTCTGACGATTCAATACTTCAGAAAGTCTCTTAAACCCGTTGCTACGGCAAAGCGATTGATATTTTATTATCTTTCAGAAGTGCAACATGAAAGCCCAGCAGCCCAGCAGAGCAGGAGCTTTGGTCCGCGGCAGCTGGCAGACCCGACTTCAACCAGAGGGGCCCCGGCCTCTTCCGACAAGATGCTGTCAGGTGGAGAAAAGGCATTGGGGGTGGTTAATAAGAGCCCTGAGTCCCTGCTGCAGCCAGACAAAGGGTGCAGGGCCCCAGACCCGAGGAACACACTCTTTGGGGGCCAAAGCTGCCACCCAGTGCACACGGCCACCTGCTGGGAGGGCATAACTGCTAGGAAGAAATTAGGCAGCAGGGTAGAGTGGCAGGTGAGTGTACCCAGACCCTTTCGCCCTCTCCCAATTAGAGGTGCCGACTTCAAGGTTCCCTGGAACCAGGAGAGGCCAGACTCCAGCAGGGAGTGCAGGGTAGATTTATGAGCAGAAAGGTTACTTTTGGAGGACAGTTCTAGGCTGGGCAGGACAAGAATCCAGTGCTCCTCAGGGCTCCAGCTGTCTGCCTTCCTTGTGCCGTAATGGGCCTCAGAGCTCACTGGCATCAACGAGAGTGGGCACCATATTGTTTAGGCTGGACAAGGTGGGGGACTGAGGGGCATCGCATGCTCTCCACCACAGGTCCGGTGGAGAGGAAACACATGTGTCTGGGGTAGTTGAGGTGCACTACAGGCCAGAGGCAGGGTATTGGCTAAGATGACCCTCCAGAGAGCCGTTCCCACTCAGGGCTCATCTGAAAACCTGTAGTGTCACAGAGCACGAGGCACTCTAGGGCACCTGGACAGAGAGCTGGCTCCAAGACTCAGGGTGGTGGTGTTGGTCTCCTCTTGTTGGCATGCTCGAGGTCTCCCACATAGAGGGCCGGGACTTCCGGATTTCTGGGTTGGGCCAAATGACTGCTGCTAAAGACATATCCTGATTTCCACATGCTTCCCACAGTGGGAGCACCCTCCCACACCAAGGTGAGACCTCCTGCACTGGCTTCCCTGAGCCCCTCACATTACCAAGAAGGAAAGTAACATCTAGAGAAGAGTGTGACTGCTCCAAGATAACACAGGGAGTTAGTGACCAAAGGAGCTAATTTAAGGCCTCCTCCGTCCCTGTGTGGCCTGAGCCCGCCCCCTTCTCCTTTTTATTCTATAAACAATGGCGTCAGTCTAGTCCTCTGATGACCCACGTGGAGCTCCAAGGGAGGGGTCCCTGAAAGGAGAAGGGCAAACTGGAAATGGGTGTCACACCCCAGGTAGATGCTGGCAACTGGGTTCTTTTGACCAGAAGCATCGAGTTCCCCTTTCTTCTCTTACTACACATATACCGAGAACCCGCCTTCGTGGGTTTCCTGGCCATAGGATTCCCCTACATGCCACCCTCAGACCAGACACTTTAAATGTACCTCCCTGCTACATGTCTCAGAAGGTCATGAGGAGTCCAGGGGCATCAGCACATGGTAGCAGCAAAGTGAACATGCTGTGTGACCTTGAGCAAGTCACTTAACTTCAAATTTTTACCAAGTGACCATGTCAGTAGAGCCATTGACCTATTGACCTGGGGCCCAGCAGCCACTCACTAGAAAGTCAGAGGACAGCCCCCACAGTTGTTGTAAGAGGAGTCCCTCTGACTCACAGAAAACCCACCCTCTCAGTTCCTTCCCAGTAGAAGGCAAGTGGCAGCCTACGTGCTAACAATTACACTTACCCATCTCCCTTCAATACTAATGAGCAACCCTCCCAGGAGGGTCTGGGACAGCCACTGTTCTGACCCTGGGGGCTGCACTTGCATCACAGGGTACCCACTTGGTTTTCCCCTCAAGAGGGGTGGGTTCCCCAACCTCTCTTGTGCACACCAGGGCACCTACTGCAGGGCATGCCCAATCAGGAAGGTTTTAGGGCAAGTGCGACCATGTGCTAGTGGCCTCCAGTACCCACAGGCCCTCTCAGTTCTGACCTCTGAAGCGCCCCGAGGATCCTGACCACAGCTAACCCGTGCCCCTTTCGCGGGCCACTCCTGCAAGAGTGCTACTGGCCTGTAGCGGGACACTTTCTTCCTTGTGGGCCAAACTCCCGCCTCCGCGCTTAGGAGACAGGGAGACAGTGGGCCCGCACGGGAGGCATCTCTCTTTCCCACCGAGTCATACTTGCGGCAGCTGTCTCCCTGAGGGTCCAGCCGGCCCAGCACCCCAGGGCGGGCTCCGATTTCCTGAGCGCGGCTTGCCGCAAGCCCTGGAGTCCGATTTTCTCGAAGCCACTGATTTGCCCAGCGCTCAGCACCTCTCAGGTTACACCGCGGCGCGAGGGTGATGGCTGCGGTGAGAGGAGCAGCCGCAAAGACGAAACGCTCTGCACAAACTGCCGCTGCGTGGAGATCGGAGGGGAGCCGGAGCCTTCCCGCATCCCACAGAGCACCACCTGGCCGGTACACAGCTCGCCGGGCTGGGGGGCGCGCAGCCCGGGGCTCACGCGTCTCGCTTCTCTCGCGTCCCACTTGGCCCCCCCGCCCCCCCCCGGCCCAGCCCCACCGCGTGCCGCCCCCCCCGCCCCCCCCCCGCCACTGGCAATCCCAGCAGACTCTGGCAGGTGCGCGCCTATGTCCCGGCGTGTGTGTTCCCGCGCACCGCGTAAGGCCAGGGGGTACCGGGCATCGGGACCCCCGCCCGCCACCTACCGTCTTCCTTGTCCAGCACCATCATCTCGGGCGCTCCGTGTCCAGCCGCAGCTCGGCTCGGCCGGGAGAAGGGCACCGACTCCGGGCGCGCTTCGGCGGGGCGGCCGGTCCTCAGGCAGCGAGCGGGCTCTAATTACCCGCTTGTCCGGCTCTTAACCTAGATTGCACTCAGCTAGAATTACATTCAGGAGTGAAGCACTTCGCAGATACAAAAGCAGTCTCACCTACTTTTGTGCCTCAGAATTGAAGGAACTACGAACTGCAATTTAGAGAGAGAGAGAGAGAGGGTGAGGGAGAGAAAAGGGGGAGAGAGGATCAGAGCCGTTTCTTTGATTCTCACCTTCTAAATGGCTCAATTTGCCCAGTATAATCTGTCTTAATGTAATTGCCTTAGATAGCTCATAACCCTGGCTCTGGCAACGACACAGCTTTCAGCCTCATAAAGTGTTTTCCCCTCGGATTTAATCTGAATCTCAATCTAAAATTATATTCAAAGAGATGGGGGAATCTCGGCGGCCGTCTCCCGCTGCCTTTCTCTCTCAATGTATGAGGTTTGCACTCCTGCTACTGAATAAATGCACACATTTCCCGGGGCCCCCTCCTCCCTCCCGGGTTAATGGGGAGTGGAGACGCGCGGCTGCCTGGCTCCGCAGCGCCACCTGGAGGCCGCTCTGCCCCAGCTCGGCGCGTGTCTCCACGCAGGACCCAGGGTCCGCCTCATCCTGGTGATTTGTCTAGTGGGCCACAGGTCTGTCACTCCCAGCCTCTCAGCCTTGATTTCTGCTCCCCTCCCACCCTGTCAATCTTCCTGTGACCTTCTACCCTCTCTTCCTACTTGCTCTGCCCTGGGGTTTCTGGTTGTTTCCTGAATTATTTGGCAAAGTTAACACTGTGCAGGGCATAAACTCTCCTACTGTGAGTCTCACAGGACTACCTTTACCTCAGCAATCGCCCCCCCAAGAGCAGCTTGATTCCATAGAAACCAAGACCTTGTCTCAACTTCTCTCTGAGCAAGCACAGCATAGCACTGAAAGCTTTTCTCATTCCACAACTGTTCACTGAGCATGTATTATGTGCCAAGCACTATTCCAAGGCAATAGGGACACAGCAGTATACAAAGCAAAGAGCCCTGCTATTACAGAGTTGATGTTCTTGTTTGTAACTCAGGAAGCAGGAAGGGAGATGGTTTCCAGCTCCTTTCCTCCTGAACTCTGTTTCTTCCCCAGAGCCCTGGGGATGGTGCCCAGGCTGCTTATTCCAGGGCTCCAGACACATATGTCAAAGATGCAATCCTGGCAGTCACTTCTGAGGACTAGACCCAGGCGAGGAGAAGAAAGCTGAAGGGGCAAAGGGCTGCCAGCTGTGATTTCATGCTATCTCTGCCTATTACCAACAGTGGACCTTTAGCAAATCACTTTCTCTCTCTGGGCCTCAGTTGCCCTGTTGGTGAAGTGGGAGACCTGCTCTTCTATCTCTAAGGTTGCTGTGGGGATCAGATGGCATAACATATGTGCATGTGCTTTGCAAGCTGTGGCACCCCAGACAGTGAGGGAGGTTATTGGGTACAAAGGAGACCTGGAGGCCAGGCAGTGCCCCTTAAGCCCTGGGTGCTTGGCAGGGCTGGGGAGTGGGGAGCTGGAGCAGTGCTGCAGCCCATCTTCCTCTATCTAGGCAGGGAAGTCACACTCAGAAAACAGGAGAGAGGCTGCTTCTAATGAGATGCTTCATTCGCAGCTCAGAGGGTTTCGTTTTCCCCTTCATCTTGAATACTTAATCCTAATAGTCCTTGAGTATATTTGATGTTAAATATATCATTTTTCTCAGCCTGACTGTCCCTCAGGACTGTGAGCTTGATCTCTCCCCTGCCACTGCAGCTGGAGCTCTACCCTGAGGGCCTGAGGGTGGCTTTGGCTCTGCTGCCACTGGCTCATCTAGTGTGAGCCCCTCACCCCAGCCTGAGCTGGGGGCTGACAGTGCAGCAAGCAGACAGGCTGTCAAGGGGCAGCTTCTTGCTGTAGACACCTCTAGGTGACCTGGAGGCATTCACTCCACAAGAGCTGCTGCTTTACTCCTGACCTCCAGGACCACTTCTTCTCACTTTCAGGGTCTGGCCCTAACCCACAAACCAGGATTTCACAGCGGGGGCCACTTTCCCACTGTTTTGTCCACGTGCTGTACTTGGGACTCTGCCCCAACACCAGCTCCCCCAGCCTCCAAGGTACTCAATTAGCAGCCACATAGCCAGCATCCCTCTTGGAAGTCAGGAGCCCTGTGCCCCAACTCAGTGACTGGAGCAGGCCTGGGGTATTGAGCAATGAGCTGCAGGAGCTGGCCAGGTATGTCAGCAGGGGATTGATGCTGAGTGTGAAGGGCTGGCTTGTGCCCACAGGTGGCTCTCTCTGCACCCCCAATTTTGAGCATTAAGCTCCCACACTAATCCTGTAAAGGGCCTCCACAGAGGCCTTTTGGGTGGTGTACAGAGCAACCCACTTTGAGGGTGTGGATGACCAGAGCGCCTGGCCAGGAAGGGTCCTGCTGGATTGACAGCCAGACACGAGCCTCCTTCATCCAGCAGCCTCCCTCTCAGCTCATGGGGAACTGCTGGGCAGGCAGGGAATCCCTGTACCCATGCTCACCCCCACCCAAGCTGCCTCCAGAGGCATGCCCACAACACCAGGGCGGAATCCTCAGATCCCCTGGGGCTGGAGGAGGTAACTTGTGCCTGACACATTCCACAGGTGATGAGCATTTGCTCACTTGGACACTGCCAAGAGTGTTCCAAAGTGCCCTTGAAATGCCTATGGGGACAACAGAGGGAGGCCACTTGATCAGTACCCATTGTTACAGTGAGGAGAAAGGGGGTGCTGGCTGCCTCACAAAGTTCTGGGCAGGTCCTAGCAGTGTGTCAGTGCACCTGGCAGGAAAGTACTGAAGAAGGCTTCCTGCACTGGGGGTGGGAAGGAGGCAGGGAAACGTGGTGCCTGAGGGTCTGAGCAGACCAGATATTCCAGAACCCTTCAGTGGAGGCTGCCCGATGTGTCTCTGCCTGAGGGCCCTGCTCCCAACACAGCGCAACTGTCTTCAAGATGGGCTTACAAGCTGGTTTTACAAGTGATGCGGAGGGGTATTCGAATGACAAGGGCCCCTTCCCTGTGGCCACCACAACTGACATGAGGGAGTAAACCTACGGTACCATCAGGACGCCTGCTGGCCAAATTCAGATGCTCTGCCCTGCCCCTTACTCACACAAATCAGCCCATGCACAGGAATTTGCAACCAGCTGGAGTAGAGAAGTGCACACATTTCATCTTTGGTTTCTGGAAGCCCTGGACATGCCTTCTAGGAGCTGCAGTTATAATTCATTAGGCCTGATTCATTAGATCTTGTGGAGGCTTAGGCCAAATGTGCACCCCCAAAACCAAGTCTCTCCCACCCCCTTGATGAAGGCCAACCCATGCCTGCACAACAGCTCTGAGAAAGTTATGAATGTAGGCTGGCCAACTGTCCTGGTTTGCCCAGGACTGAACAGTTTCCCAGGATGCAGGACTGTCAATGATCAAATTAGGTGGTCCTGGGCAAACCGGGGCAGTTGATCACCATAGAGGGAGGTGGTAAGATAGGACAAGGGATTAGTGGAGCCAGAGAGAAAGACCAGGCAGCCAGGCTGTTCCCCACAGACTAGCCTCTGCCTCCCAAGCCCAAACTTCTCAGTCATTCTATTCAGGGCTTCCTCTCCCAGGCACTAAGGAACTGCCCTAGCGCCAGCAGGGCTATAAGTTGACCTGAGAGACTGGCAGTTAGAATGGAAAGGGTGTGAGTTGGTCCCAGGGCTGGATCCAGATTTCGTGAAAGCCAAACTTACTTATACAATTGTGGGGAGGGAGGCTCTTTTAAGAAAAGGAATACAAGATTAAAAACGAAGGACTCTGAAGCTTAAACTTCATTCGCTTCAAGGTAAATCCTCTCCTGATGTTTTGGATATATGGTCCACCTATATACCCGACCCAGTAGGACACCTCCCAACATGCTAGGCCCGGGAATTGATGGCGAGCGCCCTCCCCAGCCTTGCCAGGGGGAAGCAATGTCACCCATCCCGCAGCTGTAAGTTCCGGACTGCTGGGACCCCAGGACCATGCGGTTTAACTGAACCTTCACCCCTAGGTTCTCTGGCGAGACCCCTAGGGCCTCCCCCTAGGGGAGCCACTTCGCAGTCCGGTGCAGAAGTGGGACGTGCAGTTACCCAGGGAGGCTGCTGAGGGATCTGAGGGTCCGTGGATACTGCGGAGAAACCTACGGCGCGGGTCGGAGAGGCGCTCCCAGTGCCTGTAAGGCTGCGAGAGCCAGTGAGAAAGTTCCCTGCCGGAGCGTGTGGGGCTAGCGGGCTCAGGGTGGTCCGTGGGACTTCCTAACCCCGCTGAAGAACCCTGGGGACTGAGCCTGGCACCTTCGCCACACACCCTCAAGCGCGCGTCCAGCCGCCGCTCTTCCGGGAAGCCGCCTAGCGGCCCCAGCTGCTGGGACTGGCGGGGGCGCTGCCGCGGAGAGCGCGGTGGCCTCCGCAGGGCCCGCGCTAAATCCGTCCACCCCCACCCCCGCCACCCTGCGCCCCATGCCCAGCGCGTCCTTGGACACCTACCGTCCTCCTGGCCTAACACCATGGTCCCCCGGCGGCTCCAGCCCGTCACGGGCAGAGGACGCGGAGGGCGCGCGGTTCTGAGTCCGCAGCTGCCCGCCTGCCCTGCTCCTGCTGGCCGCGCCTGGGCTCCGCGCCCCACAAGAAGCGGCGGCGGCCGCGGACCAGAGCGGACAGACCGGCACCCGGAGCAGAGCCCTGCCGGCAGGGAGCGCGGGAAGGGGGACAGAGGTTCCGGGAGGGGGCAGGGACGCGTCTGCCGGGCCGGGATCGCCGGAGCCGTGCAGCTGGGTACAAGCAGCCTTTGCCCGGGACCGGGCCGGAGCCGGAGCCGGAGCCGGAGCCGCGCTCCCGTCCTTTCTACGCGCCCGCCGCGCTCGCCGCAGCGGAGTGAAGCCTGCGTTTCCCAGGGCCCCGCAGATTCCCCCCGTTAATTAAATCAATTCATTATGCTCAGATCTGATTAGCGGCCCTTCCCCCCCCCCTTTGAATCAATTATTCAATACACAAACATAATTGCTTGGGCCAGAGGTGCCCGCCATTAGCTTATTTAACTCCAAGGACACTAATTACCCGCAGGGCACGGGAACTTTTCTCATTAATTCTGACAAAACACAAAAGCACGCCAGAGTGTGTGCATGTGAGCTAGTGTGTGCGTGTGCGTGTGTGTGTGTGTGTGACCGCATGCCAGAGTGAGGGCTGTGTGTGTGAGCTGAAGATGAGACTGGGGGTGGCGGAATGTGTGCAACTGCAGGTGGGAGTTTCGGGATGTAGTTCTGAGTCTGTGACTCTGCGGTTGCGAGTGCCGTGCGACTCCGTGCGTGTGATTGTGAGAAAGGGATTGTGTGCCTGCCTCGGGCTGGGTGTGGCTCTGGGTCTGAGGACTGGGCCAGGGTTTGAGACCCGGCACAGGAATGTATGAGGTTGTGTGAGTGCTTGCTTCTATGTGTGACTTTGTGAATGTGAATCCAGGACTACTGTCCCAGGCGCCCCACCCCCTTCTTTTTTCATAACTGACCCACCATTGTCTGTTGCACGCTCAGACCCACGGAGGAAATTGCAGACCACAGAAGAGAAACCGAGGAAGATCAGGAGAGTGGGGGAGGGGGGTAACGCTGGAGCCGGGCTGCAGCAGTGTCCCCTTGCCCACCCCACCCCTCATCACCTGTTTGTTCTACTCCTCCCCCCAGTTGTAAACCCAAGGTTCCCATCGCCCTCTTCTTTGCTCTTCTCCTTGCACATTCCAGTATTTCCCCCACTCTCCATTTTTATCCCAAAGCTCTCCGGGCCCCCGCGCCCCTCCCCCCACCTTTCCACAAGTGCCTGACACCCAGGGAACCCAGCCCAACTCCATTCACCCTACGCCTAGTTCTTCATCTCCTGTCTGCAAGGCTGAACCAAGGGTGTGCCTATGGTTGACCAATTTCTCCACATTTTACCTCCCAGGAAATCTCTATTGAGGAGAGGAGTGAGAGAGCCCACAGAAGCAGGGACACAGAGGGTAATTGATTCCCCCAAATTAGGTTTCTGCTTTCTAAAGACAGGCATTGTTCCTGTTCTCAATGTGCACAGAGGTATTGAAGATTTCCTTTTTGTTTCCTCCGGCAATGAATGAGCTTAATCCATTTGGCTTTATAAATCAGGAAACTAATATTCGCTCCTTCCAAAGCAGCTTTTTAAAAAATTTAATTGCTGGGGGAGGCACAGTTTGTCACCCTTATGCTGTCCCCAAGCCCCCACTTATAAAAACACATTCTGATTGAGGGGTGGAGAGAAGGCTGGAGGGGGGCGGAGGAGGGAGGGCTCCGCCGGATTCCTCCTGCCCTTCTCCATCCTTGCACACGGACACACAGTATCTGGAAAAGTTTGTGAAATGATCGGATGAATTCTGTTCAATTCAGTGATGAAAAGGGGGGTGTTCAGAGGTGCTTTTCAGAATGATCTCCCAGATCTTCTGTTCTCAATCTCCCACTAGCACTGAAGGCAGCCATGCCGTGCCATGTTTTGGAGCATCCTTTTCCTCACCACCCTGCACAAGCTTCTAGAGACATCTTCCTGGTGTCAACATCTGATCCTGCTACTTTCCTGCTCAGAAATCTTCTGTGGCTCCACGTTGGCCATTGACAAAGCTCCAACTACTTATTCTATCATTTTAGGCCCTTCACAAGATCTGAAGAAGACTGTGAGCTAACCACTACCCTTCACTTCAGTTCAACTGGTATCTATTTTTTAAAATGTTTTTTAAATTCTCACCCGAGAATATGTCAGGTGAGAATTTAAATAAATAAATTTATTTATTTAAATAAATAAATTCTCACCCGACACAATAAAAATATTGATATATTTTTTAGAGAGAGAAGAAGGGAGAGAGGGAGAGGGAGGGGTGGAGAGAGAGAGAGAGAGAGATTGATTGAGAGAAATATCTATATGAGAGAGAAATGTTGATTGGTTGTCTCCTGTAAATGCCCTGACCAGGGATCAAACTCCAAACCTAGATATGTGCCCTAATAGGGAATAGAACCCTCGACCTTTTTGGTGTATGGACCAATGCTCCAACCAACTGAGCCACCCAGCAAGGGCCAAATGATATCTATTGATCAACAAAAATCTTACCACCCTGCCCCTCTGGACTGCTTTACTATAATGGACCATGCCTTGCAGGTGCCTGTTCCAATGACTCTTCCTTTAACATCCCTCTTCTTAGAAAACCCTTGCCCACCTCTCAAAGTGTGCTGAGGAAATAGCTCCCTTATGTTCCTCGAAGTGGGTGTCTCTGTGTGAAGGCTTGGTTACTAAGTGGAGTGTGGATTATCCCATTGAGTGCTGAGGCATAAGATCAGCCCTTGGGGGCCCAGTTTTAGCTCTCCTCTGGAGTAGGGGGACAGATATGGTATCAAGAACCCACATGGGTCCCTGGAGAAAATGGGAATTGCAGAGGCAGGGGAGGGATTTAGATACAAGAATGCAGGCTCAGAAGGAGAGACCCTTGGGCACCATAATTTTCCCAGGATCTCAGATGGCAAAGGACCAGAACCCAGGCACATGCTTCCTCTGGAGGCCCACTAGTTGGATCTGCATGTTGTTTAGTTCTTTGTGTAGCTACACATGACCACTGCCTAGATTGGTGCCAGCTGTTCTCTGCACTAGGGCATCTGGCCGAGGGGGCAAAAGGGGGCTGAAATTCTGCCCTCCCTTTGCTCTCCAAGCCATATGCCTGGCATGGACTGCACCCACCCAGAGAAGCCACCCTTTGCTAATTTGCACAAAGGCACCCCTGGACTAGTATGGCCCTGCAATTGGATAGCTGTGCTTGGCCAGAGTTCATGCACAGAGAAGCCAGCCTGAGAGGAGTACCCAGGCTCCCCTTTCTCCATCCTCAGTGGCACCAAGGGCCTGTGTGAACTCTTAGAGACCAGCCTTCTGGTTTTCATAGAGAAAGAGAAAATTCAGAGAGATGACCATTTTGGAGTGGTCAGGGACACTGAAACAGATGCCCAGTCCCATCTCTGAATTTGTATGGGGCCCCGAGCTCTGGTGAAAGACAATGAACTCAGTTCACAGCTGGGATTCAGACAGGGACAGACCTATTCCAAGGACCAAGTCCCCAGTGGGGGCCATGCCAGAGGTAAGACAGTGAGGTTCCTGAGAGGAGATCCTCATAGGGGGACTAGACTGAGCCGCAAGGCCTGCAGTTTGCAAGGGCAAAGCTGGGCCTGACCAAGTGAGAAAGTGGATCTTTAAGGGCTCTACCGCTTTGCTGTAGGATCTGCTTCTGAAAGAGCTGGTCACTAGAAACCTGAGGTATCTCCCTGCTGAGCTAAGAAGGACAAAGGCAGCTAAGGTCAGCAGCTTGGTGGCACTGGCAATAGTGCATGCATGAATGGACAACAAAATGGCAAGAGCATCAGCCAACAGCTCTGACTACATGGAACACATCTCTCTTCTGGCCTATCAACCCCACCTCCCAGCTCTGGGGTTAGAGAGAAAATGACTTTATCCAGAACTCCAAATCTAGTGGTGTCCAGAGGGTACTTGGGTTACACATGTAAGCATTCCTAGAAGTTCTCACAACTTTTTTGGAGAGAAAGACCCTGAAGAGGAGAATCAGAACGTCGGAATTTGGGAATAATTATTGTAAGTGTGTGGGGTCTGGTGCTTGGCATGTATGGCCTCTATGTTCCAACCTGTCTCAGCTCTATGACAAGCATGAAGGGAAAGGCTGTGTGAGCAAGAATGGACCAGAACAGTAATCGGGGAGCAGCTCCAACACCAGCTTTGTGCGGTGGCAGCGGAGTTCAGCAGGAGGTGCAAAGGGCACTGCTATATCCATGCCAGGAAGAGCAAAGGATTTGCCCCTACTGCCCCTCCCCACCTGGAGGGCCTCCTGAAGCCACGCTTGCTCTCCTATGCTCCTGAACTTCCATTTCATGTCTCTTCTCTTCTCCCCAACCAGCTGGTCCCCCCCAGTCCCACTTCAGTCTCAGCAGATGCTATCACTTCCTACCTCACTGAGATGAGAGAATCCATCAGACAGGAAGGCCTTCCTCCTGCCTCCTATCTTAATCTTCAGCATCTGCAAGAGGCATCTGGTCACACACACCTGTACTGAAACATTAGAGAATGTGGTTTTCCTCCTGCCTTGGCCCTATCCCTCAGCGTGTGCTCTGGCCCATGCTACTGCCTGCAAGGTGTGTCCCACTGGCTCTTCCTTTCCCTTCAGTCTTCCCATTCTGTGGGGCCTTTCACCATAGCAGGCAAGCAAAATCTGGTGTCTTCACCCAAAAACAGCAAGCACACACATTCCCTGGACTGCACATCTTGAGATAATTCATTACCTATTCCCCTTTGTTGTGGTGCTTTCTCATCTGCCACTTTCTTCTCACCTGCTCCTGACTTTGGCTTCCACAGCTTGCCAAGGTCACCAGTGACTTTTATATCACCAAAGGACTAGTTTCAGGTCTCCCCTTACTGGACCTCTCGGCTTTTAATACATTTAACTCCTTCCTTTTTAAACATGTTTCTTCCCTAGACTAATATGTTCTCTGGGTTCTCTTCCTACCCTCATGGGTATTCCTTGTAGTCTGTGTTTATCACCAGCTTCTCTTCTTTTATCCAGACTTCAGCGGTTGGCATTTCCCAGGACGGGGTCCTAG